GATCTTACAAAGCTTCAAACGACGCGTCGACTATTAAATCAGTCGTCGACGATTTTGATAGTCGACGTAATCGTGACTAGTCGACTAATCGTGGCAGCCCTAATAGTATATTTTCATATCTGTTTTAGATAACTCTCATGTGAGGTAGATCTGATACATGTCTGACATACTGACCCGAGTGAAGAACCACTGGGATGAAACTGGTTTCCATGATGCTGTTCACGTCACATCAAGTAGCTGCCGTTGCTCTTCAAAAGGCCATAATTACAAAGGTGGCTGGGATCCTCTTCCTCAGTGTCATGATGCTGACTTCAGTGGCTTCCAGGTTTATTTCTGGACAATGTTTCGTGTGACGTTTTTATTGTTTAGTTGCTGCAATCTTATATTGACTACGCATAAAATAATTGTTACCAATCAGAGGATAAAATCAAATCTGAAATCTAAATCCTGCTTTAGCTTCTTTTTGTTTAATTTAGAAACTTTATGTCTTTTCATCGTGTTTCTTGGGTACAAAGCACCTGTTTTTTAAATGTAGTTATTTCTCCTTGTTGCTGTTATTCCTGCATCTTTCCACTGCTGGAATTCCCCCAAAGAAAACGACTTCTTTTCTGGTCTGAATCAAGTTCAATCAATCCTTTTATTAGTCTTTTTTTCTTTTGCATATTTCCTATTCAGTATGAGCTTACAGTATATGAATGTCTACATAACAAAAGACTGAAGGTCACAACACAATACCTTCATCTAACTCTCTCTCCATCACTTTCTGTCCTCCTTTCTTTATTAACTAGTTACATAGAAAACCAAGCCGGCCTGGAGAACATAACAGAAGTCGACCTTATCTTCTACAGAGAGCTGAAAAACCTGTAAGTCATTCTTTTCTCTCAACTTATTTTGAGTTTGTCAACCTATACAACTGACTGTATATACAATACAATACCTATATAATCTGTTCTCTTAATCATTGTTGTGTGTGTCAGGTTTTCTATTCTCACACTATACTTCAGTCAGAAAACTGATGTTTGAAATGATTTTCCTACAGCAGGAGAATAGAGGTAGACTGGAGTGTAGGCTCTGAGCACATTACTTCCCGCAGATATGATTATCTGCTCAAAGCCTACAGGTGGATGCTTAGGCAGAGGAGGGGTTGAACCAAAAGGGAGTGATGAAGGGCAGCAGCACTCACATATCAGAGGGATAGATGGGACATTTTTAGTTTAAATAGAC